TAGCCGGGGCCGCTGCCGCCGTAGCCTGGGCGCCACGGGACAGGGAGGGACGGGGGTGACGCTGCCGTGGCCGCGGGGACGGGTGGCACCCCGGGGTGACGCGGGAATGACCCCCCAGCATCCCCGAGCGGCTACGGATGCGTCGTGATGGACACGAGCCGGACGGGTGAGGTGTCCCCAAGTGTCCCCGACGTCTGCAGCGTGTTCTCAAGGTCCCCGTGTCCCCAAGGTGTCCCCAAGTGTCCCTGTATATTCCCCTGCTCCACGTGCCCTATGTCCCTATTTGTTGTCAATGTGTCTTTATGTCCCCACCATGACCACGTCCCCACATGTCCAACATGTCCCCACGTGTCCTCACACCCCCAGACCTCTGTGTCCCCAACGTCCGTGTCCCCAGTGTGTCCCTGATATCCCCAGCGTGTCCCATGTCCCCACATTTCCAGCATGTCCCCATACATTGGGAATACAGGGGTGTGGGGTATGTCCAACACGTCCCCAACGTGTCCCCACATACCCCCCCCCCACGTGCTCCATGTCTCTATGCTATCAATGACTCTTCACGTCCCCACGAGCCCCAACATTTCCGACACGTCCCCGTATGTCCGCACATCCTCACGCTGTTGTATCCCCAGTGTATCTCCAACACGTCCCCGTGTCCCACGTCCCCACATTTCTGACATGTCCCCACATGTCCCCATACCCCCACATACCCATAACCACAGTATATCCCCAACACATCCCCAAAGTGTCCCCGATATCCCCAGCACGTCCCATTTCCCCACATGTCCCCCTATGCCCCCACATCCTCACACCCCTGTATCCCCAGTATACCTCCAACATGTCCCCAAAGTGTCCCACGTCCCCACACGTCCAAAACGTCCCACGTCCCCACAGCCCCAGACCCCTGTATCCCCAATATATATCCATGTCCCCAACATGTCCCTGACATCCCCAGCACGCCCCATGTCCCCAAATACCCCCCAACGTCACTCACCCCGCGCGCCGAAGTTGCCGCCGCGGTTGAAGTTGTCATTGGCGCCGAAGCCACCGCGGCCGCCGCCGCCACCGCCACCAAAGTTCCCCGAGCCGCTGCGCCCTGGCGGGGGGGACACACAGGGACGGGGCCCTTAGGGGTGGCGCGGGGCGGGGGGGTCGGCGCGGGCGCGGGGGGGCCGCCGCTCACCTCGCTGGCTCACCGAGGCGCTCGCCATCTCCTGCTTGGACAGCGCCTTGCGCACCTCGCAGTTGTGCCCGTTCACCGTGTGGTACTTCTGGACTGCGCGACACAGCGGGGGACGCTTCGGGGTCGGTGACAGCGGCGCGCGCGGCTGTCACCGACCCCCCCGCCGCCGGCCACCGCCTGTCCCCACTCACTGACGATCTTGTCCACGGAGTCGTGGTCGTCGAAGGTGACGAAGGCGAAGCCGCGTTTCTTGCCGCTGCCGCGGTCCGTCATGATCTCCACCACCTCGATCTTGCCGTACTGGCCGAAGTAGTCGCGCAGATGATGCTCCTCTGTGTCCTCCTTGATGCCGCCCACGAAGATCTTCTTCACGGTGAGGTGGGCGCCGGGGCGCTGCGAGTCCTGCACAGCGGGTGCCCCAAAGGGCGGGGGGGTTTGGAGCCGCCGGTGCCACCGCCTGCCCCTCCACTGTCCCCTCCGTTGTCCCCTCTGCTGTCCCCTGTCGCGTGGCGGGTCCTACCTCACGGGACACGGCGCGCTTGGGCTCCACGACGCGCCCGTCCACCTTGTGTGGCCGCGCGTTCATGGCGCCGTCCACCTCCTCCACGGACGAGTAGGTGACGAAGCCGAAGCCGCGCGAGCGCTTCGTGTTCGGGTCCCGCATCACCTGCGGGGCGGCACAGGGGTCAACGGGGGGGTCCTGGTGCCCTGGGTGCAGCTGCGGGGTGCAGGGGGGGGTCCCTACCACGCAGTCCGTGAGGGTCCCCCATTGCTCGAAGTGGCTGCGCAGACTCTCGTCCGTCGTCTCGAAGCTGAGGCCGCCGATGAAGAGTTTGCGGAGCTGCTCGGGCTCCTTGGGGGACTGCGGCGGGGGGACACGGGGACGTTACAGGGGGGTAACGTGTGTCCCCCCACCCCCGGTGCTTTGGGAGGCGGTTGTTGGCACAGGACGGGCCCAGTGGCCCTACAATGTCCCCAAACAGCCCCCAGCCAAGGCCCAAGTGCCCCAGGGATGGGACATTAGCCCTAGGGGGGGCTGCCCTGTCACCAGCCAGGCCCTGCCCCAGGGACACCCATGACCCCCCCCCCATTCTGTCTCCCCCCCCCCAGGGACTCCCCTGACCCCCCATCCAGCCCCTTCCCCCTCCAAAGAGGCCC